GCTGCAAGAGGATTGAAACCAAGCGCACAGCCCCTCTGTATCTCCAGCAGCCTTGTTGGTACACGCAATTGCCTGTTCAAACGCTGTGATAAACAGACCGGCAGTGGATGGGTTCAGTACATGACGGTGCCGAGCAGGCGCCGGCAGGGCACCAGCTGTACAAAACAGTTTCGCCTCAAAAACAATGAACGAATGGTCAGAAAAAGCATTCGTACAGATATTTAAATTTGTTACAGGCACACCATATGAAAGAACAAGGTCCAGCGTGTGTCCCCGCTCATGTGTAGGACCAGACACACACTGCATCAGCTCAAAAGCATCAATAGTAGTTAAAAACTCCCTCACCAGTTGTTTATCAGGGCAACACACATGTATATTAAAATCACCCAGTAAAAAAAAACGATCATAATGAGGTCTAACGCTGGCCATAAAATCTGCAAAGTCATTCACAAAGTCCTTATTATATCTCGGTGGCCTATAAATGACAGCACACAGTACAGGATCCAAACGACCCACCTCAAGTAAAGTCATTTCAAAACTTGAAAACGTAGGCAGGGATAAAGTACACTGCCTAAAAAAATGGGTTGTTTTAAAAACACACGCTGTCCCTCCACCACAGCCTGACAAGCGTGGTGAGCTAAAAAAAGAACAACCCACCGGCAAGAGGTCCGTAAAAGTACTAAAATCCCCGGCATCCACCAAAGTCTCTGTGAGAAATAGTAGATCCAAATCCATGGAGGTAAAAAAGTCTCTCAAAATAAAGGTTTTGTTCTTCAGCGAGCGGACATTCACCAGGCCAAACCTTGCGAGGTCCCGGGCTTGCGGCACCACCGGTTATGAAACTGGTCGAAGTGGCCTCAAAGCACAAAGATCCACCCCACGCAGGTGAAGCCAAGAGGGGCAAGGCCCATTGGGCCGCGGGCCTCCATCACCACCCACAACATACACCAGGTGTATGTACCCGATAAAACCGGGGGAACAGTTCCTCGTTCGTCACGTCCAAGCACACATAGATCCCCGCCCTTAGATTGAAGGTCCAAAAGGAACCGGCGATCGTACACCAGCAGAGACTCCGTCCTTGATACACTGACAATTAAAAACGCCATAATCATCAGCCAGAATGAGAGCAACAGACGAGCAGCCACCAACACTGGCGCCATCTTGCTTGCTTGAAGGAGAAGAAAAAAGGGGTATAGGGATGAACTGTTGTATAACCTACCCATTTTAATTATACTGAGTTTAAAAGTTAGGCATGATAAAGAGCATGGCCACTGAGTGACAGGCGGTAAGGTCCTGTCACAGGTGGCTAGCCATTACCTGCCTAGCAAGCTCCAATCAAGCTCGACCTCTTTGCCCATTTTTGGATTTGCCATAGCAAGCAGAGTGAAGCGCATCAGAATGTTGCTCCGGCAGCACTACGCCTGTGGTGCGGTCATTTTTCAATCTGTTGTTGGAAGGATCTCTAGATCCGCTACGAGTTAGCTACACACAGCTAACGTTATCCATTGTGAATAACCACAGTCAACGTCAAGTGAGATCTAAATGAATTAGGCAACTTTTAGCCAAACAAAATAAGAATGTATGCAGGTACCAGCGCATCCTCCCAAATTGGCGCCCCATCCCAACGTTCAACATGGCGTGACGTGCCTTCACATTATAGCATCTTTGCAATAATATTTTACCATGATTTTAACATTTGCATTTTTAATGTCATCATTCTAACATTACTTTAACATTAGCGTTTTGCAAAAGGTTAACATCACCCGCACTGGTTCTATTCTTTTGGTTGTTTGTTTCCCCATCTAATACGCTACAGGACAGATTATTTTGCTTTACCTGATAAAAACTGCAAAGGTAACAACTTAAAAACCCTGAGCAGATAAACTCTGAATGTTTTCACATCTGGTGAAATAAAATAAAACATAACAGAAGTGACACACCTCACACCTGGTGACTGTACTCTCTTCCTGCTGGCTCAGCAGGTGGATCTACAGCCTAGTAAAAAAGTGAATCATTAGTGTCCTCACTGCGTCCTGATGATGGTCTGAACAGACACAGGATTTTCTTCTTCATGTCGAAGGCACGGCCGAGTTCATAACCAACGCCTAGAGATGGCTGGGTGACCTCGGCCACCACCACTGAGGTCAAACATAGGTCAGAGGTCACACAGGCTGGCTGCAGCTTAGAGGAGACAATGATCAATAAATCAGTACACGGATCGGATCCTAACCGTCAGACTCTTGCAGCCAGGCCACGTCTCGATCATGGATGAATCTGTCGCTGGCTGTCGAGGCGTCCTCTCCTGTCCAATCACAGCACAGCAACCCAGGGACAGAATAAACGCGTCTGACCAATCACTGCACAACATCATAATGACATCACACACATCTGACCAATCACAGCAGCTCAGTGAGTTACAATTTATTATTAATACATTTTTAAGTATCAGTAAAGAAGAATTCAACAGGACACATTTATTGGGTTAAACTAATGTTTTATAAAACAATCTTTGAGCCGTTTGTAAAGTTCGTTTTAACCTTATCAGGTTTTATTTTTAATAAGGATGAACTGTCCTGCCATCAGGTTTTAAATAACGTTTGAGAAAAGCGTGAATAGCTGCTGGCTGATTAATCTGACAGTAAAGAGCAAACTGTGTGTGTGAGACCACGGACCTTGATCTGTGAGCTCCGTGCTGCTCACGTGCACGGTCAGCACGGTCCCATAGCTCCGCAGCTTCTTCACGATCCTCCGATACACGAGCACGTCGTCTCTGCCGCCGCGTATACTCCCGCAAAAATAAATCTTCATCCTGGATCAGCACCGACTGTAATCTGTGTCTGTCCGCTAACCGCGCAGTCCCCACCAGCTTCTGCTGATCGCGATGTCCGCAACTTCGCCGCTGCGCGGTGACGTCATGTCCTCCCCTACCCTCTGAACTTAGCCCTGAGATTAGTCTCGCAGGTACACCGGTGTATATACAATCCCCCTTTGCTCTGGAGACGGTGGCTGTGTCCGAAACCGCATACTGTGACAGTACGTACTGAAAGAGATGAAGTACCTACTTACTGACCGTTAAAACAGTAGGTACTGTATAGTATGAAGCCTGGTAGTATGAATGAGATTCGGACGTACTACATCCGCCATGTTGATACATCACGTGACATATGTTTTCATAGCAGCGTCTTCTTTGTTGGATAACTCCTCTCCCGGGGCATCATGGGATAGTGAAGTGTCCATCGTATGCACACTGCAAAATCCAGCCGGAAGCAGTAGGTCATCCGGGTACTTTTCGCCTACTGTTTTTGGAATACTACGAATCCGGACATACTACTCGCCTCGCCTACTGCTTTTCACCTACTATACAGTATGGTAGTAGGCGGTTTCGGACGCAGCCGGTAACCATCTGAAAGGAGGAGTTATCTGACAGGTTTCACCCAGGGCAAATAAAGGCAACGTTAAATACAAAAAATATTCAGATCCTTTCCTGATGTAAAAGAAGCAGGCTAATACAGCTGCTAAAACAACTCTCTCAAGTCCTGCATTCAAATTCTGACCCAAATCATCATCTTCTTCTTCTTCTTCTCTCGGCTTTTCCCGTCAGGGGTCGCCACAGCGAATCATCTGTTTCCACCTAACTCTATCCTCGGCATCCTCTACTCTCACACCAATTAACTTCATGTCCTCTTTTAGCACATCCATATATCTCCTCTTTGGCCTTCCTCTTGACCTCTTGCCTGGCAGCTCCATCTCCAGCATCCTTCTACCAATATAACCACTATCCCTCCTCTGTACATGTCCAAACCATCTCAATCTGGCCTCTCTGACCAATTTCAAAGTGTTTATTCATCATATGCACAGTTAGGAAACGTGTTTCCCTCTACAATGAAATTCTTACTTTGCCGTCAACATGAATGCCACAAAAATACAAATGAAATATAAAGTAGATAAATAAGTAACACAAAATCTAAGGCACTTTAAGCAGCAAATGCAGCAATATAATAAAAATATATAAGAATATAATAGAGAAACACTCAATGTGCAATTATGCATGTGCAAACTGAGAATGTAAACAGTACATCACATATTTCCTGGTAATAAACTCCTTAGCTGTGTAGGAGTTTGATGGTAGAAGGAAAGAAAGAGTTTTTCAGTCTAGCTGTCAATTCCCCTCGTTGTCTTCTGGGGCAGACGTGTCAGCAGTTCTTCTTTTGTAGAAAAATCATTACACATCATTCGGATGAATATCATCAGCTGAGCTGTGCTGGTGCTGTCAACGGATTCGTCACACTGGATGCTAAACCACCTGCACGTAGCGATATCTCGGTCCAGTTGCTCAGTTTAAGTTCTTGGACATAGATGATATTCTTCTAGCCATTGTATTTGCTCCAAGTTTGACATCGGAAAGGGCAGAGATGACATTGGGACCATGCTTCTCATCTTTGAAGACTGTGTTTGCAACAATCATCATAGCTTCTTTAAAAACCTCCCCATCCGAAAAGGCTTTCTTGCTCTTTATCAAAAAGTTCGCAGCTCTAAAC